CGTGTGTAGAGGAGCGTGTGCGGGAGGGCGGGTAGGGGCGTGCGTGGGTGTGTAGGGGGGTACGGGGTAGCGTTGATGGGAGTGCAGGTGTAGGTGGGCATGTGTGGGTGTCCATAGGGGTTGGGTATGTGTTTACACAGGGGCATGTGTATGTGTGCATGTGTTTGCCTGCGCCTCACACTTTAGGGTAGTTTGGAAAACAACTGCTTAAAACTTACTTAATTGAGTGAGTTTTAGTGACTCCTTACTTAACACACTTTTTTACTAGCTATTCTCATTACCTTCCCCTCCATGCTCCCCTGTCTCATTTTTTGACTACAGCTACCTGCATCCCTTCCCCCCACACCACCTATCTTTCACCCACTGACCACCTCAATTTAGATTTTAACTGAGTGGCTTTCTTGCCTTGGCACTGGCCTCTGGCTGCTTTACCACTTCATCCAGAAACAGCACAGAGCATCTGCAGGCGCTTCCTCAGCCTGACAAAGGGTGTTTGGGCCTCAAAGCTTGCTAAGAAGATTTTTTTTCCAACTATTTCAGTTGGTCTAATAAAAGATACCAGATTTACTCAAAGAACCTTGTCTGCCTGTATTTAAAACTAGGCAGGCAAGGTTTGTTGGATAGATGTGATCTCTTTTCTTGGACCAACTGAATCGTTAAAGCTCTTGGCAAGCTTTTGGGCACAAACACCCTTCTTCAGGCATGTTTAAAACTAAGGAGATGAGTAAGAAAACTAAGAAAAAAAATAAAGACCCCAACTGTCTTTGCTGCCGATTGATGGTGACTTGCAGCATTCCTCCCCTATGAGCGGAGTGATTTGTTGTGTTTTTAGTTTTTTCCCCTTTCAAAGCCAAGGTGATGCAAGGGTGCTGGCTAAGGGGTGTGTCAAGTTGGTTTTTCCAAAAAATACCCAGTAATTTCCATGGTGGCTTGGGAAGGTGGCAGTAATGCAGTTTTCTGGACTTACCTGGAGCATGTAACAGCATAGGCAGAGATGCTCCGTTCTGTAGATCTCAGAGTGTCAGGGTTGGCTTCCTAGTTTTGCTAATTGGTTAAACAGTGTGGCTGAATAGGATGGTTTGGATAGGGGTGATCAGGCCTCATGCCGGGGGTTGGACTGGATCAGCATTTCCTAACCCATGTGTCGCAGGAATATATGAAAGGGTCATGAACAAACTTTAAAATTGGATTCTCCTTTAAAGGAGAACAGTATGGGAAACAGTGGCTTTTCCCTTGCAGGCTGGCAGAGTTCCAGCCTGTGAGGGGCTGCTTGGGGCCCCCTATGCCCAACACATACTCACCTCTGTCCCACACACTGGGGAGCGGGGGGAGGGGGGGCACGGGAAGCAGGTCAGGAATGAGGGGCACTGGGTTGAGACTGGCTATCAACATTTACAAATGGGTCCTGGTACAAAAGTTGAGAACAACTGAACTAGATGACCTCTGGAGATCCCTTCCTACCCTGCGTCTCTGATGGTATAATTCAAAGGGAGAAATGGTGCTGGCTGGCAGTGGGCAGTAAATTCTATTGACCTACAAGTAATCAGACTTCATGGTGTAAGGTAGTGATTGGTGCTCACCCTATCTGACTTTGCTGGCTGGGTAAGCAGTGTGTGCCTGGGCTGTAGGCCAGACTCTGTGCATGGGGTTGGTTTGCAGGTTGGATCTAGCACAGTGGGTGTGATCTGACTGCAGAGCGACCTCCATTTCAGCCCAAGCCCCACAGGTTCAGAAATTTGGCAGCAGTATGTGTCAGAGTGACTATTAATGCTGCTCCTGGTCCCCTGCCACCAAATTTCTGGACCATGGGAGATGCAGTTCCCAGGGCCAATGGTTGAGCACCACTGGAAACATGGAGAAATACTTTCTTATGTACATCATTGTGTAGTTAAGCAAATGGTGCTTGGGATCTTGTTCTCTTTCAAGCAAGCCATTAGCTCTGTGGTGAACCTTTACATTTAAAGAATACAAAAAACATTCTTTAAATGTTTGAACTTTTGAATGTTCACCAGATCTGGCGTGCTCGGGACCGAGCGCTTGCTGGAAATTTGAAAATGCTGTATTTTTTTAAACTGGTGCAGTAGGGCAGGGTGGTGAATGGTGACTGCAGTGCAATCTTCCCCCTCCATGTCCAGGAGGGTGGAGGGGAGTGGCGGCTGATCCCAGAGTGGCAGGGGGGATGTGCCAGATTTTTGATAATTCTGGATTTTTGGTATCTGGATTTATAAGGTTATCGTGTACAAGGAATTGCTATAAATGGTAAAAGCAAACTGAAAATGAGTGCTGTTGCAGTATAAATAGATAAAAGTTCATTGGATTTATAGCTCAAGCTCATAGATTTGTTTTTTTTTATTGAGGAAGCCAATTACCTTATAATCTATTTATAAGAAGTCTTGGGAAGCCTTATATTACTTAACCAGTTAACTTGTTTTGCCAGAGTTTGCTTCAACGATGCCTGTTCCTCCGTTGTCTTCTGCCAAGATTGTTCAGATGCGCAATGAACTCTTTAACAAAGAGAAAGAGAGACAGTTGGCTCTGTATCCACGAATTGAGAAGATTGAAGTAAAATGTGTTGGAAACTCTCACACTGGCACTTTGTTTGTAATGAACAAGGGTTTGTCCACACCATACAATTGTGCTATGCGTAAGTAAATTAAATAAAAAGCTATGGTTGTTCCCGTGGGTATCAGAATTACGCCGTTAGTAAATGTACTTACTGTTCAATTTGAGAGGTATTAAAACTCACTGAAGCTGTTATAAAAGTACAGATAATGATATTGGCCTGAGGTGTTCAATAGGGCTGTGCAAAGCTTTGGTAGCTGATTCGATTTGGAGGAATTTGGCCCAATTTGGGGACTGAATCTCTGAACCGAATCTGGAGATCAAGTAAAAGCTCTGAATCTATTTGAAGCATCTGAATTGATTTGGAAAAGATTTGGCTGCTTTGCAGATTCAGCCATAGACTAAACAGGCAGCCGATAGTTGCCTCCAGCTGGTAAGTCTGTTGGGGTTGGGGGAAAGGGGAAGTAAGGAGTGTTGGGGAGGTAGAGATTGGGGCTGGGACAAGGATTGGGGCTGGGATTGGGGCTGGGGGAGGGGGGCGTAGCAGTGTTGGGAGCAGGGACTAAATTGTGCCTCTTCTGTGCTGGCTGGGTAAGTGACAGCAAAGCAGAGCCGCTGTGGCTCTCCCCACTGGTGCAGAGGTAGGCACAGCTGGAGGAGCTGTGGGAGAAGCCCTCATGGCTGCCCTGCCTGGCCTCAGCCTCCCGGCACTTAAAAATACCCAAACAAAAAACCCACTTCTGCCAGAGCTGGTGACTGCAGGGCTACTGGGGCCTCTGAGGGCTTGTGGCAGAACTCCCCCAAGCAGAGGGGGGCAGCGGGGATTGCCCCCCCACTTGGGACCTGCGTAGCAGCTGCCCCATGGCATGGGTATAGCGTGGCTCAGCAGGGTCCTGCACGCTGCCTTGGAGCTGGGGCGGTTCTATGTGTCAGCTGGAGCTCAGCCGCACGCAGCCCCAGCTCCCAGACAGTGTGCAGCGCCCTGCCGAGCTGGGCTGCACCCGTGGTGGGGGGCTCGGCCACAAGCACCCATTGGCCCCAGTCGCTGTTGCGTGAGCCAGGGAGTGTGGGGCGCCTTTATTTTTTTTTTTTTAAAGTGCCAGTATGCTGGGGTGGGGT